TACAGCCTTCTAGAATTTCTTTTTTTTGGTACCAGGGATTAAACCCACAGGTGATTAACCACTGAGTCACACCCCCAGCCCTTTTTTGTATTTTATTTAGAGATGGGGTCTCGCTGAGTTGCGGAGGGTCTCWCTAAATTGCTGAGGCTGGCTTAGAACTTGAGATCCTCCTGCCTCAGCCTCTTGAGCTGCTGGGATTATAGGGGTGCGCCATCATGCCTGGCTTCCTTCTAGAATTTAGATAGGCATTTACAAAGTTCACACATTCCAAATGTTTCTACAACTTTTCTCACTTATATATGCCATGTCAATATACATTAATCATTATATTTAGGAACTGCACAGAATCCACTGTATTCAGCAACTTTCTTTTCCTTGGTGATTTGAAGATACTTTGGTGAAACTGACTGCTACTGAAATCATTAAAGGAAAAAAGCTAACAATGTGCAAGTGTTTTAAACACCAATTACTTAACAGTTATACTACTTTTTTGTTTTCCTAACAGAATTCTTATATTGCTTTTTTGCAATAGGGAAACTGATCAAAAGTCACCTCTTCCAGAAAAATGATTAATTTCCCTAAACTGAATAGAAAAAAAAATACAGTAATTAAAAAAAAATCAAATAGGATTATCTAGAAGAGAATTCTGTTGGTTCCAAAGAAAATACCATAAAAACATGAGCTGGGGTTGTGGCTCAGCAGTAGAGCACCCGCCTGGCATGTTCGAGGCCCTGGTTCAATCCTCAACACCATAAACAAACAAACAAACAAACAAATAAAATAAAGGTTATTGTGTCAACTACAACTAAAAAATATTTTTAAAAAATACCATAAAAACAGAAGCAATGTCCTTGATATTAAAAAGTTTTAAAAGCTACTAAGCTAAGGGATACAAGTATGAGAAAAAAATGCAGAATAAAAATGGCAATATACAACCCAGTGACAGTGCCACACAATACTCCATCTGTATTTTGCTCCCAATCTTCAAATTGGAGAAAGTAGAAAAAACAAATACCTAGATGAACATGCCTGAGACTGGCAGGTTTTATCACTACGCTGTTTCAAGGTCAGGCCTTCTCTTATAATTTTACACCTAGCATTCTGCAACACAGAAAATACAATAAGAACTCATTCACTATCTGAGGGAATGAATTTATTCATTTATTTATTTATTTTAATTGTAGATGGAYACAATACCTTTCTTTTTATGTGGTGCTGAGGATCAAACACCATGCCTCACACGTGACAGGCAAGCATTCCACCACTGACCTACAGCCCCAGTCCAAATTAATTCATTTAAAAAGCACCTTACTATCTGTATTCTACACAAACACAATGAGAGTGTGAGGATCAATCACAGGACTGCATCTGGAACTTTCATTAATTACTCACCGTAGTGCTTCTGCATAAAAAAGGTACTCCTTTAACTGATCTGCATAATGTTCTTCATCTTCCAAAATATCATCAATAGAAGATGCATACCTGTTTTTAAAAACACTGCATTAAACGAGTAATTTTCACTGGGACACAAGCATTAACGTTCTAAAAAAGTGTTTTTCAAAGTATGATCCACAGACCACTGACTACCTGTCAGTGACAAATTAGGAAAAGTGAAAATTATCATTTAGAAACATTAATGGCAATTTGTAATTGGTATGTTAATTTTATTGAATTTTGCCGAACTGCAAAGACTTAGAAATAAAACAAACAAATAAAAAATAGTCCTTTCTTACAAAGAAAACCTGATCTACTGGAATCTTGTTTTTTTTTTTTTTTTTTTTAATTTTTAAATCTTTTTTAGTTGTTGATGGACCTTTATTTATTTATTTGCATGTGGTGCTGAGAATCGAACCTAGTGCCTCACACATGCTAGGCAAGTGCTCTATCACTGAGCTAAAACTCCAGCCCCTCTATTGGAATCTTTTGTTCAAAGAGATTATAAAATGGCTATAAAATCCATAAAAAGTATGATTTGGTATAATTGGTTGCAACTATTTATAGTAATACCAAAAAGCTACAAGGGGAAAAAGTAAATGAAAATAATAGAAATTGGGGCTGGGGCTTATTTCTRATCTCTTAATAACAATTTATAATTAAAATTTTATCAGGGGCTGGGGATGTGGCTCAAGTGGTAGCGCGCTCGCCTAGCGTGCGTGCGGCCCGGGTTCGATCCTCAGCACCACATACAAATGAAGATGTTGTGTCTGCCAAGAACTAAGAAAAAATAAATAAATATTAAAAAAAAAATTCTCTCTCTCTCTGTCCCCCTCTCTCTCTCTTAAAAAAAAAAATTATCAAAGTAATGTCTCACCTGTTGTTTTTATTTCTGATTACACTGTAAATTCTGTAAACAAAAGGGCTATGTGTATATAGTGCTTCTTTGTCATTATAAGAGGCATCTTTCGAATTAATTCTAATCCCTTAGCATGAAAATAAAAAGTACATATAGTTTATGCTTCCAGGCCTAGTTCAGCTATACAAATAAACCACGTTTACCAAAGTTGTAAAACAAAATCAAACTATGTTCAAGTTCATTCGAAAAGCAACATATTTGGGGGGCTTATAAAAGCAGGTAACATATATATTATGTAATTACAAACCTGTATCTACTATTGTGAGGAATTTTACCTATGTAACTGACAAAGTCTTAATAACTACTGTTAAGAGCAAGAGAATCTTAGGGGCTAGCGCCCTGGGTTTGATCCCCAGCAGAAGCAAAAAAAAGGAGCACTTGAAGAATTTAAATAAATAAATAAATAATTAATTAAGAAGAGGAAAATCTGGCTTTAGTTCATAAATCTAAATCTATGCTTTTAGAAGAATTAATGTTAAGAAATGAACAAAAAAAGGGGACCCATAGGGCTGAGGGCTTGAAGATTAAAATTATAATGTAGGGATAGTAAAGACTTTAAGATATCTATACTGAGAATAATTTTTTTTTTTT